TTAACCTTTGACATTAATTTGCATACATCCATAGAATTGAACATTTATACCTTTTTAAGCATCTACGGGGTTGCGTGTTCATGTCATATTTTACAACAGCGTGTTTACTACTAACATACCTATAAGCTTTACAACGGGTTCTATTGCATGATCATCTGTGAACATCAGACTAAGCTTAGCTTGTGCCATTCACTATCATTGCCCACATTGTTACTTACCTACCTTAGAGAAGTTTTCATTACTATATGTGACTTACTTGGGACCTTTTCGATGTAAACGGTATTTGATTAGCGTGTTGGATATCTCTTCAATATGTAAAATTTCGCAGGTCGGAGTCGGAAAAAATCCGACATACGGTAAATTTGCGCCAAGTTTGACTTTAAAATTATTATATTCAACTTAAATTAGCATACCAATGCAGAGTTTAATATATGTATTTTTTTATTTATATACGTATAATGGAATCGTTATTTGAATATGTAATGTATATCATTTATTCATCCGACATGACTGGACTATCTCCTCATATATTTCACCAACCTCAAAAGCAGGTACGTAATAAACAATAAATATTTAGTTATTGTTATGGTTTAAGCGGAAGTTGGAGGTAATTTAAGAAGTTTTTAACTAAACAATACATAGATTGAGAAAGATAACGTAACAATAATTTCGGATAATACAAAAAAGAAAATGCTTACATTTGTTAACAGAAAGATAATAGAGTACCAGGAACAATGCTTTATGATTGTAGACTATTATAACCTCAATTATTGAATAATGAAGAATAGAAAATATTAATATTACTAATGTTTTAAAAATCTTTGAAACGAAGTAAAATACCATGCTTTAGCATGGTGATTAGTATTTGTGATAAAAATAAACAATGGCCAGTAAAACAATAAAATAATAGAAAATTGCTGATAGCTTCTCGTTGAGGGAGGAAATTATTATTATGAGTTTTATAAACTGCAACATTAAAATGAAGTTGATTACATAGTACTACGACAAGTCTGACCACAATACGTATTTTGTATACCACATAAACTCTGTAAATGAAATCTAGTGAATTTACTCACATTCTTTTTCCGAATTAACCTTAAAAAAAGACTTTATTGGTCGATAAGAACGCAGATAATATAATGGTTCAAATACTGCTACATTTCAACGACTAGTCTTTTCCATATAGCATGGGTACGGTAAAAAGAAACTCTACGAAAATTCGATACTAAAGAGTTCATTAAAAAAAACATGATTTAATAAAAAATATTTATTCGTCAACAAAATGAACTAGAGTCAGCAAAATTATTTGATTCATCTTCTAAATTAATATTTACTGGTGAATCTTATTATACTATTTTAATAACACTACATGACTGAGATGTAAGAAAAGCTTTTTTTTTTAAAATTGTCAAATGATTACTGAACATGTATTACGATTAAAACGATTTTATTGATTCAATCCCTATTATAAAAACGTTGCAATTAACATTACAAGTACATATGATGTTTGAAACTCTAGTGGGTTAGATTTCAGTAATTATGGTTATTACAAAAATATGTTTTAATATGTATATTTAATTAAATATCTAATACACAAACAAACTATCTTTTATAACGACTGTTTAATTATTATTTTTTTAAATACCATACAATTATTTAAATAACTTCGCCGTACTCCGTCCTATTCTAACTTCACCGTAACTCCCTTTGGCACAAACGTCAATTAATCTTTAATTACGACTTTAAACAATGTTCAGAAATTGAATTTTTTTTATTGGTAATGAAATTTTAATGAACGTTTGTGCAATTGGCTGTAAGGCTGATCAATCCGATATGAAGAAGACGGACTCAACGAATTTTCTTTGCACCTTGCAAATGTATCACAGGCGACATTATAATGCTAAAGTTTTCGTACTACTGGTGCGGAAGTTCATATGTTTTCATGCAGTTTACTCTAAAAATCTTTTCTTTCAGCAAAGAAGCTGAGGATGTTACTTTAAAATGGAAACCGGAGCTAATGAATTAAGACGATGTTAACACACTTAAGTGCATCATGGGGTTGAAAGAGCAATCTTCACAGAAAATACCACTGATAACTGATTTCGATTCGTATATATTATGCTAATAGTTAGGGATAACGGTCAGTTGCACAAACATCCATTAAGATTATAGACCACTCTTTAAACTCTTATTACTGTTCTAAATTTGAAATTTTGTATTGGTAATGTAGCATTAAACTAATGAAAATTTTAATGGAAGTTTTAAGCAACTAGCTTAAAAATAACACGGGTATAAATTTATCTAAAAAATTCTACCACATATGCTAGATGGTAATGAATTGAACTAAAATAAAAATCATTAGATCGGTATAAATAAAATAAGTAATATAAATAATAACTATAACTTTAATCTTCACTATTAATCAAAAAGTTAAAAAATTATCTACAACATAATCATAACCAAATGTATACCAAAAGAAAAGCGGTTCCCTTTCTGTGAAATAGGCCGCAGTAAAAAGACCCCAACTTCATCTCAAATAAATGAAAGAACAGTTGTTACTACTCTCATTGTATCAGTCCCCTAGTCGCAGACAGTTGTCTAGATATTATACCTACTTGTTTACAGTGTATATTTAAAAACCGATTTTAAAAACTACGGGTGGTCTAGATCTATAAATTGTTATTATGAGTAAAGAAGATGTCCAAAAACAAAACACCAAAAGGATCCTTACAAAACCATGTTAGTATAATATACTTTAACCACAAACCAGATGTTCAAAATTTAACGTTGGCAGTAATTATACAAATAGTCTCCTATATTAGACTGCTGTCTAATTTGGTCTGTGAATATGAACATGTCAAAACTATATAACTTAATTCAAAAAAAGGAAACGACTTAAAATCACTTGGTCACACTTTTTTATTTTATTTTACGCGAACCACGCCTTGTTGTCATATTTGAACCGTTTTTATAGATTAGCCTCTCCCTTCTCTACCTGCTAAGCACATGTGCGGTATGGTATGCCCTTCAGTGTCAGTAGAACGCCCGCGTGCGTCGCATCTGCTCTGCGCAGGCTATTATGACAATACCCAATTCCATGTGCTTACGCATACAAACATATCGGTTGTGATAAACTCTTTACTAGTGTCGTTTTTCATACTAAACATGGTATTTGTGTTTTTCATATTTTACTAATGTTCATATATTTTAATTTGTGTGCATAAGATTCGCTGCATTAATCAATAATGTAACTTTAAGTTTTGATTTGTTTTGTGATAAGCTAGCTGATAAGTTGAATTGATAATATTTTTGAGTTTAATAATGTAGTCATTTCTGTTTTATATTATTTAACAAGCGGTTGTTTTTACAAAGGTGTACCATTGATTCATTATAACTAAAAATGTATTTATAAATTAAATATTTACACAAAATGTATAATGTGTGATGATATTCTCATGTTCATTGTCATTCTTCTATCTTATGACAAATATACAATATCTACTTTAAGTTTTCAGTCACTCTAACAGTAACAATATTTTTTAGACATTGCTTACATCTCCGTAAACATTTAATTTTTATTTTATACTTAGTAGCAACAATATTAATAACTCTAGCGTTTTGTTAATTTTCCAGGCTGCAATGGATCCAGGCATGCCAAGTCACGGTCCGCATAATGTGCCTGGTAGATCAGCTTGGGGTGGGCTGAATGTAACCTATGAAATGCAACAGGATCCTAACAAACCAGGGTGAGTTTTCTGAATTTTTAACAAGGTTAAAGTTTTTGTTAAATTATGAGATTATGACATTTGACATCAGGTTTTTAATTTATATTAGATACTTCATATCAATGCATTATAGTATATAATTATTTCATTAAATTTTTATTTTCTGACATAGTGATATTACTTTTATATAATTCATTTATTACTAAGATTTTTAATTACAAAAACAATTTCTTAATGTTTTTTTTTTTTGGATTAATTGATTATACTATATTCATAATGTTAATATGAATGTTTATATGATAACTAATAGACTAATTTAATGAAATCAGACTACCCAATTTTTAAGCCTAAATTAACATATATTCCTATTTATCCCACTAAAATAATAACAATTTGGAGGTCAACCTCAGCGAAGTCGTAAACAGAACTTCGTATAGTAATTAAATGTTAAGAAATTTTATTAATTAAACTGGTCTTACTTTTAAAATCGCTTAAAAACCTATTACTTATTTCAAAAGTATAATAGCTAATATTAATATGAGTACGATAATCGAATACTTGTGAGTACGATAATCGAGGACTTGTGAATTTTTAAAACATTTTCCATCTTGAAGAAAAATATTTTAAATTCACGAGTCCCAGGTGTCCAAGATGCAAGATTGTTAATTCAAAATAGATCTGATATAATAAAAAAGCATATATCAGTAAGAAGTACTTTGAAATGAGCCGATAATATTATTACTTTATGATTGTAAATATAATCCTCACTATATTGTTTTAAAATGCATTCGCGCTTGATGAATGTGTTATTATTTTAGGAGGAAAACGATTACTCTTTGCGTTATTATATATAAAACGTCTATTTTGTGTTCATATGTTACGATAGGTGCGTATTTATTTGTGTTAGTTATAATTTATGTTGAATTACCGACACGTTTTTTTTTTATTTACCTAATATGCGCCCTCAAATTGATCTATATTTAGAAATTAAAAAATAATAAATATGACGATTTATAAATTGCTTACATATTAAATTGTGACTTCTTAACTCAAACACCCTACCGAATAATATGTTCTCAAATTTAAAAATTCTTTTGTTATAAATATGGTTTATATTTGTTATAAATATATTATTGTAGTCATGCACTAAGCTGCTTATGCTGATATCAAACAGTGAATGTCTACTTGCCTATTGTAATTCAAATTTTTGGGTGCCACGTGTTGTTTTTAAATGGAAACATACTGAATTGATTTATTGTTAGATCTGTGTAGAACTTTATGTGGTTTACCTGGTATTTTTATGTACGAAAGTATCGGAATAAAAATGAAAATGACATTTATTTACGAAAATCATAGTCAACATACTCTCTAAATTCAAGTCAAGTTCAACTCTAAGTTCAAGAATCGACAAACATTACCTTAAGAATTTTGACTCTTAATGTAATTTATATACATACTTAATTAAAGTAAGATCTAAGTAAACCCCAAGTATTAGATATTATAGTACACTTAAATAAAAATGGAACAAACCACTATTACATTTACAACACTACCTGTTCAATAACAGTATACCAGAACGAGCATTATCCATGCAGCCTAAAACTCAATAATAATAATGTGTTATCCTCCATAGAAACATTTAATATTGCGCTTGCGAGTGTTTTATTTTTCACATAAATGCTATTGATATGTTTTTTGAAATAGCTTTTTATAAATTTTAAATCAATATATTAAACTTTGTAGCTAAAGAAAATGAAAAGGAATATTAATTTTAACAATGAACTCAAGCCATTTTCTTGTATTCAATTATAATACCATTTCTTTTGTTATTCATCGAATTATAACATTAATCTTGAATCTAATTGATGCCTCTGGCTATTAGCGAGTTGCATAAATGAGTTTTATAGCAAAAGCAAGTAGGTGTAGGCAATATTTCTTATCTATGCTCTTGCGACAGTGTCTTCGTCTACTTTATACTTTAAACTTGACTTACTCATTTGACATAGCGAAATGTTATCTGCTTTGTTGTTTTTTCATTCAGTGTCCTATTGTGTTGACATATTTTTTTAATGTTATGGCTTGTGTATTTTGATTATGAGTAATGTACAATTTTATATATTGGATCGTTTGACTCGCAGAATAAGCGGTGTGCCGAGTACTAGCAAAGATATGAATCTGGCCGGTATACCGATGCCCCCTACCACGATTCGTACAAAAAAACGAGCAGCGATGGCAACTTCTGTTGTTTCCATGGCCACGCCTCCACCTCCTTCACCTATACGTAAGTATTTTAACATATAAGAATAAAACATTAAATTTAGAAATAATATCATCTAAATACTCTTTATATGGAGTGGAATTTAATAACGATTAAATATCACCACAAATAATGAAACTCAAGTATTGACGTTTTATGTGTCATAACTATTAACACTCATTAATTAATGATTTTGGGTACTATCAGTGTATGCTCAATTAATACCTATTAGAGACCCATTAATAATGAATATTAAGTATTCCCATTGTGTGTCTATACTATATAATGGTTATTTTCTATCTTACTTTAACATTTGTTTATCAGCATTCAAAGTGAAAGTATCTTGGCTTAAATTAATTAAAAGTTATTGTGTATGCTAACGTAATCTTCGTGAAAGAAAACACAATGAAAAGTAAGTAAAAGATAAAAAAAAACACTGTCTAATCGCAATATTATGTATATTCTAGAAATAAAAGATTATAGGCATTTTTGTTTAAATTTATTTAGATCTTTTCTAAAAGTCTTATCAAATATTTTTATAAAAATGGTTACTTAACTTTTTTGTAATAAAAAATTACAATAGTTTATATTGTGATATTGATATTCACTCAAGAGAAAACCTATAAAAAATTGCGATAATCGTAAATTTTAGTTAGGTTAGGTTAAATACTAAAATATTTTTACGAAACCCACGGTGCGCAAGTCTGATTCACAATTGAACTTTTTTTAATATCTGATTTTTACAAACTTTATCCAAGGAGCAGGCTGTATGTTGATAGATATTTATATAATATTAATTCTTGTTTTAGAAACTGCTACGTCACAAAATATGGCCAATGTCCGAAGGCCGCCGCAGCCCACGCCGCCACCTATATACCAGGAGACCATCAAGGACTCTCCTCCTAGCTCACCTGGTAAGTCAATACTAGTTGTGCCCCAAGTATAATATATAAATAATTTTCCAAAACCGTACCTTTAATTTGAAATTATTTTAATGTATTTTTCACAGGTTCCGAACGCCCACTGAAACCGAAAATGGAACATAAGTGAGTTTCTGAAATTTATATCATTACATCAATGTGTGCTTTTCAAAGTCTTGTATGTATTCTACTAGACAAAATGTTTGGTTGAAAAATTGCTAGCTTGCTTACTAATCTTGTGGCTATCGACGTTCCACGAAATAGTTTTAATCAAAAGAGAATTTAAATACCACGATTTGTTGTAATCAACGAAATATTGGCTAATGACCGGTAAAACGTTGTAATTATTTACATTCACATTTCTTTATGTAACTTTAAATTATTTTAAGACTAACTTTATTATTTATTTTTTCCTAAACTTACAATAATGTTTTTTTTTTCTATTAGTTTAATTTCACGCTATAGGCAGTATTGGACCTATTCATAATCATTTAACGAATTTATATACAAAAAAAAAACATTATGTGTATAACAAAATATTATGTAACAATATGTTAAATTACTTCTAAATTTTAACATATATAAATTCGTTAGAGAATAAATTATATATCTTATAATTTTTTACATTTCCTCCTTTACAAAATTATTCACACATAACAATAGTTTGGTGATTTTCATAATTACTATGCATGCATTCAATACTAATTCAATTTTATATAATCTAAAATATAAAAAAGTAACGTCGTGTCACAATTTTAGAACCATACTCCTCCGCTTGACCGATTTTGACCAAATTTCATATATACATTCAGTAGGTCTGATAATAGGTTGTTATCCTATTTTTTATACCCCTAAGTGATAAGGGTGGTTACAACCACATTTGCCAAGTCAGCTAGTTACATATAAAAATAACGCTTTTAAGTTTCATGACTAAATATATAAAATTTAGCCTATCAACTATTGTCATGTATTTAGAACCAAGGGTGGATATAGATATAAATGATAAACATATCTACATAGTCGTAAGCTTAGCAATATCTATTTAAAAACAACAATTGGGCATTTTCAGCCATCGTACTAACTGTAATTTTCACCAATCGTGTCTAAAGGACTTGACGTTTTCACAACAGGATAGGCATAAGTTGCACAGCACCTCATATGTTAGGCAACGAATTGAATCCGGACAGTGGCGCCGCCGCCCGGCTTCAGGAGCAGCTGAGCGCTGAGTTGGCAGCACATGCCGCGGGCTCTAGCGGGGCCGATCCTCTGGTACCGCCACCGCTCATCAACAAAGCAGCGCCGGTATAAAACAAAACTAATACCTCAATGAAGTCCATCAAGATAAATAATGGGCATCGCAAAACATCGGAAACAATCCTCTGATAATACAAAGAATAATAACAAAAAGTAATTTAGCCCTAAAAATGGTTCACAATTTAACACAGACAGTAAATGAAAATTAACACATTTTTTTTTCTCGTAATGTTTAATATACTGTTAGTTATGCTTAATAAATTTGTAATATTTTTAAAATTTAAAAAAATGCAGCGCATGACGTCATGCTCCTCTTGCTCATATGAGAACTTAAAAAATTGAACCTTATACATACATAGAAGGATATTAGTTTTATAGGGGTCTGACGTCATAGCGACGCCATGGCAGGAGTTGGCGTTGTCGCTGAAAATATTTAAAATCAAATTTTCTTTTTTGATTTTAACTGCATGAATGAATTAAATAGATTAATATTTAAATTTTTAGATATAATTCATGTATAAAAATAAAATAAAAAAGTTGTCTACCCCGCTTCATTTTTAAAAACAGCAAATTAGTTTCAAGACGTACGAGTGGCGCGACGTGGTCACTAATTTGATATAACCCTGCATCGGTTTTTGTGCTGATGTAATATTTTCAAGTATTTTTATTCTGTCTAGGTACATAAACAGCAGCTAGAGCATCTCTGTGTCATATTCATACTCTCTATGTCAATGTTCTTCGGAAACACTAAGTTAGCTGATGTCCATTATTTATCTCGTAGTACTGTACATTATAAGAGAAAAACACAATAATAACTTGTCTAATCAAAACTATGTATGCATCACTAGAATATGCATCCAACAAAACTTTGTGGCCCACTTCTTAGTTGTCTTAGAGAAAAAAGAGGACACAAATTAGAACACAGTTAAAACGAAAGAAACTATTTTGGAAGTGTGATTTTTTTCATTAAATGTTTTATAGTATTCACTAAATTTGTTACAGGGCACTAGCTCGGGACGCGGCAGTTCATCGAGCGCTCAAAGCTTGGACCAGCTTCTAGAAAGACAATGGGAGCAAGGTTCACAGTTTCTCATGGAACAAGCTCAGCATTTCGACAGTAAGTATATAATTAATTTACTATGTATATAACTTCAGTGCCTTAGCAAATAAACTTGTCTGAGACTGGTAACTCATTGTGGCCCTGAGCGATTTGCGACTCGAGTATATTTTTTTAAATGTCTGGAACTTTAGTTTTAGTATGGAATTAGATATATAAATTCTAGAACTCTGCTTTTAGCTGATTAATTAAGGTTCACATACATCACATTCTAAGTAGCTATAAACATGATTAGTTGCTTTAGCGAATAATAATGACAATTTAGAATCCAATCCCAAGTGTGAAATATGTGACCTATGTTGAAATCAATTTTGAAAATTGCTTGCGTCTGTGCGTAGTAAATTGTGGATATTAAAATCTTGTTCAATCCTAGTGAAATAAAGACGTAAATAACCTCAATAAAATCTGCTTTTTGAAAAATTCGAATAATGTTTACGCTTTGCATTATCAAGCTCCAGAAGATATTTTGTACACGATGGACCCTTGATTTTTGTCAATACAGTTGCATCTTTGCTGTCGTGTCTACACCAACTGCGCACTGAGAACGTGCGCCTGGAAGATCACGTCGGCAATTTGTTACAAAGACGCGATCATTTGTTGGCTGTTAATGCGCGTCTGGCGATACCGCTTACTACTGGTAAATACAAATATAATTATCTAAATTCATAATATAAATATTATAAAATAAATATCATTATCTTAATATTGTAAAGAGGAAAGTTAAAAATTTGATTATTTACATTGAACAGGCTCCGAATCTAATGGTCCGATTTTAATATTCTTTCACCTACAGCAAAGAAGATCGTGGCTGACATAGGCTATGATTTGGGGGTACGGGGAGATAGCTTATATGTACTTATTGTAGTACGCAGTTGTTTTTTTGTCTGTGTCGTCATTGGCCTATCAAGAAGTACACCAAAAGCCACTAACTTTTAATTAGATTAGTAAAAATAATGCCCAAATAAAATGCAAATACAAATGAGAAAGCTACACCATATTTATGAGGGTTTTACCATTGTCCAGTGTTCTTATAAAAGTCTCTTTAAAAACTCATGAAATTGCCCAATATTCCCAATTCTTTTTTTTTAAGTAATTATGATCTGTAAGGCCGTTCTTAATTAGAGCAGGCGATAAGTTTGTGTCATCAATTTTTTACGTAAAACAATTTATGACTGATTCTTCTCTATGTCATATATATAAGAAAGGACCAACCTTTCACCTATATTTTAGGATATTTTTTTTTTTTGAAGCAATAATTTCGCTAACGTTACTTTTGTTCTCTTTCTGGCGCTCTAAGGCACCGCAGCGTACAGTTTGGGAATCCTATCTACAAAGATCTGTACTATAATATCTTATTGTTGTTATATCGCAGTGACTACTGGACCACCGGAGCCCCCACGATGCCCTCGTGAGAATGGTTCGCAGGTGCGCGCGCCACAAACACAATCGCGCGCCCCTGAAACCATTACATCAGACCGACCTCACCAGGTAAGATTATAACAGTAGGTACAAATGTGAGGTGACATGTGCCTAGTTGTACCTACTTTATCGGCTTTATAGTCTTTTTCACATAGCATGGGTACGGTTACGTGTGGGATTAGATATAATCAATTTTGAGGTCAAATAGGATTTAGGAAAAATATTTATTCATCACCAAGATGAACCCGAGTCAGAAAATACACAATTTTATTTATGTTAAGTTTCATTGTTACAACAAAAACAATTAAATAAATTACAATAGATTACCGAATAAATGTTCCATTTAAACCGATTTTATTGATTCAATCCCTTTTAAAAAAAACGTTCCAATTATCGTTATAAGTATCGATGTTTTAAACTTTAGAGGGTTTCATTACAGATCAAAATCAAAATTGTTTATTCAGTTTAGACATTTCTCGACAAAATTTATTGATTTATTTGTTTTTTATATGAAAATTTAAGTAACATATACACAGACACACTATTTTTATAACAATGATTTTTAGTTATTTGGAATTAATAAAAATATTCTTAATTATAAATGATTAAAAAATCCATTTTGTCCCTGGCACAGGTCTCTGAGGTCTACTCAAACCACTGAGCTACCCCGGACCTAACAGCATTAATATTAGCCTATTAACATTATTTCTTGTGTAATAAATCCGTGCAGCTGATGATGCGAGAAGTCCAACAAAAGCCCAGCTGAAAGGAGCCGGGCGGCGGGGGCGGGGGCGAGGGCGGTAGCGGTAGCAGTGGCGTGGGCCAGAGCGGGAGTAGCACGGTGAGGCCCGAGCGTGATCAAGGCCAGCCGTCAACTGTACAATCTGACGCCGACCCCGCTCTGCGCACCGTGCAAACGTTCATCATGATCGAGCAGCGGCGCCGCCCCGACTTCTCAATAGACTCCATACTCAAATACGACCACTGAACGTACACATCTCGCCAGTGGCGGACTAACCCCATTGGGGGGCCCTGGGCGGCATCACACCCGGACCGACCACCTTCCAAATGGGGTAGACGCGCTCAATATAAAGGCATATTAGTACTGTGTATATAATAAAGATAATTGTAGCATATAAAGGTTAATGAAACTTAAAAAAAAAACTACGAAATAAGGCAGTAAAATGGATTTTAATCTTAAAAAATGTAAATTACCGCTACAGGCCGTATGTATTTGTCTACGGGGCCTCCAACCCCAATTTATGATTTGATTGAGGGAACTTGCATCCATTTGGAGGTCCCCCAGGAGAAGAGGCCCGAGGCGGACCGCCTCCTCCCCACTAGTCCGCCACTGCGCTTCGCCTCATCAAAGTACACGCCCCGAGGTATGTACCTACATTAAAAGCGCGCGTCTATTTTTATAGCACTGTGATTTTTTTCCCGACTATCAAAATATTGAATCTGTATAATAATGAAAAGACGTTTTCGTGATATTTAAAATTGATTGTGAACAGAACCAGACAAAGTGAAATCGTGTTAAGCAAACGACATAATCTGTGTTCCAGACTGACGACGTCCGAACGTTTTAATATTAGGCACGACGTTTTAATTATGAACTGATATGGACTAAAGTTGTATACATATCATTTTATCCTGGAACGTTATATAACAACGACTCTTGTATTTATGTGTTTAATTCCAAAAGTGAAAATTGTTGTTTGATTACTCTAAACTAAAATTATGTAAATACATGTTGAATGTGGTCCACGTAATGAGCCAATGTAGTGATTGTTCGTAAAAAATACTTGTTAAACGGTGTGTATCTTAAAATTACTATCACAACCAAACCTTTAAATTGTTATTTTAAACAAAAATATATAGATATTAGTTTGGAATATGAGAAATTACTTGGAACATGTTTCGATACGCACCTACACGATCATATACTGATCAATTCATCTGGTTATATGAGAAAGGGCATATACATTTTACAAGTATACTATTTACATACTAAACTGTAGATTTATAAGACAAATTTTACATAAGTATTGGTGAAACATTGATTGTGATTTTTCTAATATAATCGTCGTTCAAGGTAGGGTATATTACATGTCAGTGTTTAACAGTAAGTGTTAACGAGGATCGTCCTAGTGCAGTATGCTATAGTGAAGTGAACTTTAACTAGTGTTGTGAAGTTTGTTATTTGACTGCACGACTAAAGGTTCATAGTGTTTTTTATTGTGCTCCTTCCCAAAAAGTATTACAGTGAATTGAACATGGAACTGTGTGATGTCTAAACATTTTTTAACAAGCACTGATTACACACTGGCATTTTAGATTCCCAAAATGTATAAAAACATTTGACGTGTCGTATAAAATTAATCTTGCGGACTAAGACCTTCTAGGTCAATATTTGTAGAAGCAGAAACTTTTAAATATTGACACATTATATAATCGTCGAACTCGTCTGCATATATACTACTACTACTGATTGTCATTAGCAGTCGTCGAATCCAATATATTAAAACTGTGTAATCAAAACAAATGAAATATTCTATTGCATTTATAGACATCTTCATAATATACATTATATATAATATTTAATCAAAACAATGAAATGTTTACTCAATCAATTTTAAAAGCGACTTTTTTAATGTTGGTGTCAAATAATGGAATCATACTCAATAAATAATATTTCAAGTTTGATTACCCAATAAAAATATAATAATTATAGATGACGCTTTATACCAAAGGTAGCAATTTAATATATAAAAAACAGTGCTTCAACATTAAGAGCTATTATAAGAATAAGCTAACATACACTTGAGCAATGTCAGCAATTTAGTCTTCATGTAAAATATGTTTTATTTTTAATAAATATATATATAAAATAAAACGAACCATTGCATACACTATATAAAAGTATACAATATTAGTATTTCTTTTTTGCAATTCTGCCAAATGAGACACTTTATGGCCTGCATAAATTGTATTGAAAACTCCATTCAGTAAAATTTGTGTGTAATTAATTGTTTATTAACTGGTGGCGTTTTTTGTGTAATAAATAAAATTTCTGTGCTTCGTCATTATTGGATGATATTGATTAGGAGTCTGTGCAGACGAATGACTTTTGTTTGCGAATATCAATTGTTCAGTTATATTTCTGAAATAGAAAAAGTACTATAAAGTTTGTTCGACAAAAGTTCGTCATCTGCGTTCATTTTAAGTGTTATGAAATTGTATGTATAATATAGAAATGCACAAAGTTGTTTAATTTAAGATATTAATAATAAGTTGACGTTTAATTTTTAAGGGTATGAAATCATAAACGTAATTATGATAACTTAAAAGAAAATGGATATGTGAATGTATGTTTTACATTTTATATGTTGATGTTGAATCGGAATTATTTGTTTGATTGATTGATATGGTTTGATTTCAATAAATTTGTCATCCATTGACCCACACGGCAATAATTTGTGTTGTGCTAGATATCGACTATATTTATTATGAAATTTTTAACTATTTGAACTCTGTTCGCATACCTCTTACAATTAGATTTAAAGGTTGTGTGTATGAGTATATTGCATGTAAAATAATTGAAACTTATACACGTACTCTGTTTACACCAATAATGAGAATATGATGTTTGTTATATTAATAATGCGGACGTTTCCTTTTCATGTTAATTTTGAAATAATGTGTTGAAAATAAGTGACTTTAAATAATTCATACAATTTGTAAAATGTGAAAGATAATATAGATAATGTCTTTTTATATAAAAAGTAAAATCACTTATGTATAGGTAGGTATATACATATTTTTAATTTGTATTCTTTAAACTTCAATCGTTTTCTTTTTTGTTAAAAAATAGCCCATTAAATTTATTGAAAACGTATTCAGATTCTAATTAGTCTGGTGTACTTTATTTAAAAATGTGAACATGGAATGAACTGTGATCATTATTAAACCATATCTTAAATTACTACATAAGGCATTATAAATATTTATTTTCATTAAATAATACATGAATTTTTGCAGATAATTAGAAATAAGAACGATAAAAAGAATTAAAATACTCAACACTGCTCGAAAATCATGTTCACGGATTATATTATAAAATCACTATGGATAGATATTCAAAGATTCTATTAAGGAAGTATGAATCAACTTCATAGTTATTTATATTATATGTATAAAAAATTAACATTAACTGGAAACGCGAGCACTAACAACATCTTAAAATAGTCTAGGTTAAAGTCAATGTAAACTTGTAATCGAAGTGATCTCAGTGTATTGCTAACTCGTGGTTAATCATAATTTTCATTGCCTTGCATTTGACGACTGAATCTTTTTTTAATCTTATTTGATATATCAATTTGCTCATTTATCTCTATGGCGAGGCAGTGAAAAATATTTATGTGTTTAAATGGTATATAATCGGGCGTACTTACGCCAGTACTTACTGAAAATTTTCTAAGAAGTTAAAAATGTTTCATATGGGTGATTTTCTAGCGAATGGGCCGTTGATAGTGTGTTACGAGATCGCGTCATCTTAATTTACTGAGATTAACATGGTTTTGGTTTATGCTCAACTTTTCACAATCAGTTAATCGAGTTCGCTACTACGACATTCACAGAACGCTTAACCAAAAACATACTGGTAAAGTTGGGAATATATTTTTGTGCCGTGTTTTGTCACTTGCTGTCGCGTATTATATTCATACATTAGAATGAAACTGATATGTTTTTGTCGTAACAACACAACGTGTAAATATGTTTAATAATTCTAAATGTATAAAAGCGATATGGTTCTGTCGCAACACTCACACAACACGACACAAAAATCTGTTTCCGACATAAGTCATCCATATGATCGTTCTCTGTGTACAGTCGACAGCATGTCAGGTTTCTACCAAAGATCAAATTTCTTGAATCAATTTTAAGCTGTTATCTGTTAATAACGCAGTTTAAAATTGACACAAAAATTTGGTCTTTTTCACCTGATGTGCTGATGTGTGTATATAATGTTCCCCGTGGATTTTAATAAATAAATTAGTTTAGTCTCTTATCGGCCCCATTTTGTGTTTGAAGTCTTAAGAGAAGATTTTGTTTATGTCTCTATCTCAGTTGATAAAATTCTTGTGCATGATATTTTATTTAGGTTATAATCAGTTTTTATTACATTTTAAACAATAAATTGATTGGTAATTTTATATTCGTCCTTTGTGTTATACAAAACCTATCAAATTCTTCATTAGTGTATGCAAACATGAGACGTAAATTATACACGCACTTTAAGCACCCCTCAGTAGAGATAAAAATGCTATTGCAACAGATAGTGAAAGACTTTTAAAGTACTCAATGTAAATGATTAAGAAGGTTGTATAAATAAAGGGCCAATAGATATCTCTCATATTGGTAAAAATAGTAGACATATCATCGAAAAAACAAAACAAAACTACATAAATAAAACAAACGACCTCCAGATCTGTGGTAAATAGTAGAGCTACTTTAAAAAATAACCCTGTCAGATCCATTAGTCAAGAAAAAATAACCAAATGAAACACAGCAGTTGTAACGTATAAGAGGGCTGAACTGAAAGTTCTTAGACAATCGAAGACTGAATAAAGTAGTAAGATATTAGTTTAATTAATTTTTGAAACTCAGCCCCTACTTCCTTAGAGTCCATAAAAGGAAGGTTAACATAACGTCCCTTGAAGGTTTGCAAGGTCGTAGCTACACGGCGGATGACCTATTAATATTATTATAGTATATAATAAGTTGGCGAATAAGTTCTTCTAAGGTTAACTTCCCATTTTATATAAGAATTCAAAAAAAAATTAATAAAGTTTATTTACATTTAACTAAAGTATGTAAGTAGGTACCATTTTCTTCCAAATTTTTTTGCCATTTTGTAGGTAGGTTACATGATCCCATTGCTATAGAAATTTTGGGGCTTCTGATCAAGACTGCGACAAATGGTTTGACAGCCCTCGCGTGATGTTAACCTGACACCTAGCAGCGAAACTCTTAATTTTTGCCGAGTGGCAAAACATGTGTGAACGCGAGAGCGTTATCATGATGAAAAACCACACCCCTTCTATTGATTTATTCGGGCCGCTTTATCTCAAGTTCTTATTTTAATCTCATCAGTCCACAGTTGAGTTCAAAATCGATGTTCCTGCGTGACGGTAACAGTTCATAATGAATAATGCCCTTCCAATCCCACCACACACAGCCTTGTTGCGAGTTAACTCTGGTTTCGCCACAGTCTGTAAAGCCTGATCGACTTTTGATCACGACCTTTTTAGCACTTTTTTGTTGTAGGTACGTCATCCACTTTGCATCACCAGTTATCAGCTTCTTCAAAATTGATTCGGTTTCATTATGCCGTAATAAAGAACCACTAATGAGTACACGGTTCATTGGGTTTCTTTCAGTGATCTCTTGAGGTACCCAAATATCCAACCTTTTGTGTACCCAGCTTTTTACAAATGAACCAAAATTATTTTTTCGTCAATCCCCAGTTCTTCAGCTACAACGGTAACTACAGATATGCCGATCTTGCTCCACTTTTTCAAAAATGGCATCCATTTTATCCGTCCAGACGACGGAAATCTAAGAAAGTTCGAACTGAAAACGCTTAAACCAAATGTGTGGTTGTGTGACCTACGTCCCTCCCTCCCTCCTCCTCTCCCTATCCCTAACAAAATGGCATTTATTATTATTAAACAGAAAAGAAATGTGAATTTTAGTATTGGTAAAATTTTATTGGGTAACTTAGTGATTATTTCTGTCTAACGAGAGAAAAATTCACTCAACTTACTAGTTTGTAGGACAAATAAGTAGGATACAAATGCGTATCATTAGGTTGGGTAATATATTAACAGAAAATAAATACTTGATATTTAGACCCATCCTTGGCATGCAATCGTATAAAAATTGATAATAAGTTAACAAACATGATAACTAAGTCAAGTAGAATAATTTTCATGCTGTGATAAGGATGACATTCCATCGATGCGATGCGGAGCAGAGACCATAATTTGACTGGGTAATGTGTTTCATTACATATAAGACTAAATCATTAATTTCTTACAATATAAAATGCGATAAAACAAATATAATTATTTTATTTTTCAGTGTAACCTCTTTATAGTTTAATTCATTTAAAATATCAAATTTTAACTGTCTAATTCCTTCCAAAAAAGAAAACAGTATTTTCTTGGCTCTCACAAAACTTGTCGACGGATGCCATAACAGCGATTTTGCCCTCAAATTTAGGACCACGAATATGCTCCATTAATTTGGGGAACAGGTCAAAAACACTAGGGGCTAAGTCCGGAGAATATGGTAGTTGTTCAATAATTTCAAAATCAGCATTGCGGATTGCCTTCAGCGCAAGTGCCGACCGATGTGTAGGAGTGTTAGCGTGAAGACACAAGATATGCTCAATGACAGTTTGCCTCAATGTTTTACTTTAACTGCTTGCGCACTTTTGGGATTAATCCCTGCATAATACTGTCCCGTAATCCTATAGACATGTGATTAATAAAAATCATTCACAGTCCGAGGTCATAACCTTACCAGCGGTAGGAGATACTCGAAATTTCTTTATGGGACGTTCATTTCCAGGACACGCTTTGTATTTTTGTTTCGGGATCGAAATAGTGGATTTGTTTCATCTATAGTGATACGATGTTTAAAGCACTTTGTATTATGCGCTTTGAATTACGGTTAAATCATGGAACCCACCTTGCTGACACTTATTTGAAATAGAGTGAATGTGAAAATGGATCGTATGCTGCCAAATGATATGTATAAGATATTGGTGAATCGTTTTTGAGTAAATTTTCTGTCTTCTAAAGCTAAGTTTTCAGTTTGTTTAACATTGTCTTCCATGATCGAGGTTGAAAGCCGCCAGGAACGAGAATCCTCTTCGCAACTCGATCTATCTCTTTTAAATTCAGCAACCCAGTAAGCCATCCATACGGTAGGTGGTCGGAGCTCCGACCAGTTAACCTTGGTCAGTTCGTGTGTGACCTTGGTCGGGGCATCGAGTCGTGTGCTTCCACACTGGCTCCCAACCAACCGTTCCGACTAAGGTGTTACCATACTGGAGTACTAAATAAAACAAAAAATATTTTGCATACCTTTAATAACTTTACGATCTATGAGATCTGAAGTCTGAGAGATATGAAGTCGTTCATTTATTTGTAATGAACTTCCCAACTAGCAAATTAGTCATATAAGGTAAAGTTTATTCAGCTTTTCGGTGTTATAAAAGTCGAGTAAGTGTGAATTATTCAGCACGTATCGTATAAAAGCATCTTATATAGCTTTTGAGTTATTCAGCATTTCGGTCACATAATGATGCTGAGTAAACGTTTAGTCAGCATCCTTATATGACTTAAGTGTCATATAATATTTTGCTGAATAAGTCGCTAGTATACGACGCTTATGTTACTATTTCGTCGAGTAAAAGCATATTATATAGCTTTCTTATGGCAAGGTTGACTCAGTCGAGTAAAAGCAACATTGTTGCTTTTATACTACTATTATGTAGTATACGTCACATTTATACGACTATTACAAGCCTAAAATGTCGTATAATTGTATCCATTACACCGATCAGATTGTTTTGTGTAAAATGCTGTGAGTAGTTGTTGTTAACTTGTTCTAGTTTTGTTGTGTACAATAAATAGTTAATTAAATAAATAAACAAACAAAAAGTATTTTTTAGAAAACTTTTTAGGAAGTTCTAAGGAACCCTAAACTATAATCAGAGTGGTATCATGGCGCTCATACTGCTAATTTGCTGTATAAGAAGCTATTATACCGCCTGTCAGCAGTAAAAATGGTGTACAAAAATAATATTGATATAAAAATATTTGTTATTATATTCATATTACTAAGAATTAAAGGGGGGCGTTAAATATTTATGATATAACCTAGTATATTTCCTCAGAAAACTTACCTTCGCAATACTTTACAACCCTATGCGTGAGTTTACGAACCTACATTTGGTGCAACCTACAAATTAACATGTCTGCTAAATAAATTGTACTTACCGATGAACTATAATTTTTAGAACACAACTATTTTATTTTATTTACTATAAATGTTTTCAGCTGTTTTGTATCCCAGGTCGCTTCAATAAGACAAACATGTCATATAAAAGTCATATAAGTTACAGTTATAGCGCAACATAAGCTTGTAACAGTCACTACGGCGATAATTACGTGACGATTTACCTGAATAAGTTACCTTTATACGATGTCTGTGTGACTGAATTGCTGAATAAAATGGGCCCAAATCGCGTTGTATAAACGTTTTCATTACGTTTATACGACTTCTATTAGGAGCCAAAATGCTGAATAATTTTCGTTGCCGCGACTACTATACGACATATTTTTGCTAGTTGGGTTTCCATGTGAGTACATATAAAACGTAGTAAGTAGTAAGTAGCATTTGAGAGTGTTTTACTTCGAAAATTTGCTTCATTAAGAGTTTTATACTTTTAAATCAATATTGAAAAAAGGGAAGCCTATTTAAACAATGAAATTTTAATTATATAAAAAATATCTTTTTACAGATACTACAGGCCCAAACGTGATCGAAC